CCCGGGGAGAGGTGGCGGGGCCGGGCAGGCTGCCCCGGGAGCGGCCGGGTGACGATGAAGTCGGTAACCTCCTGAAAGAGAAGAAGAGGCGGGGAAAACGGCGTGGGTCTCCCTTCCTCTCCTTCGCTCGGGGTCAGAACAACTGCTGGTGTCGAGGATTAGCTTGTACCTCACCGTGCAGTGCCTGTAGGAGCAAATACAGTGTGTTACCATCTCCAGTCCCCAGCTGCGACAGACAATTGAGGTTATAAAAGCGCTTTTCATCAGAGCCCAGCTAATGCCCCAAGGCTGCTTTGCACGTTACGGCCACGGTACCTGCGGCAGTAAACGGCCGAGGGAACCGGGACTGGCTGACACAGCACGTTTGCAGAACTTTTCTTGCAGCGATTTACCGAATTTTCTTCCCCCTCCCACAGTATTGTTTTTTCTTTTACTCTGGAGACTGTCCGTGCGGCACAGATGCTGCTAAGCCAAGGTCCGGTAGGTATGGAAGAATCACGGTACCGAGCCTGCAGCACCGGAGCTGGACAAGAGCAGGTGACCCGGGGCAGGGAGCAAGTCCCCGGGGAACGGGCAGTTTCGGAGCTGGGGATAACACTGAAGCATCGCTCTGGCTGTTGCAGGAGCTCCAGACGTTGGTCTGTCCCATCCCAGGCTTGTAGCAAATGTGTTTTTGAAGCATTACAGCTCCATGCTACTGCAGGTCCCTCAGGTGGGTGTACTGTGCCAGCGACAGTGGTTCATGTCCTGATTTAACCCATCCTGCTAATTTATGAGAGCAAACCCTCTCAGATGTGATCCCTCCTTTATTCTGTAACTGAGCATCGTCAGGGGTTAAACAGGCTTCTGGAGCCTGTTGAGTTGCTTTGAGGACAGACTGCAGGGATGCAGGGAGTTCAGGGAGGCTGTGTCTAGACTAGAGGAGCTCTCCTGAAGGCTGGCTGTGCTTTTGTTGTGTGGCAACTTGTATCTCTAATCTGGCTTGAAACACAGTGTCTCGGTCCCTTCAGTCCCCAACACTGCACTTGCAGGAGAAAAGGAGGATGTATTTAGCTTCCACCAAGCTAAGGTGAAAAACAGGCCGAGCAGGGATCTTGGTATCAAAGAACAACGTGATGTTTGCTGACATCAGCTATGGCCTGGGAGAGGAGGAAGACCAACACAGCTAAGCAGATGAAACCGCCATGAAACCAACTCTCGGATAGTCAAGCCAGCGCTGTGGACACTTCTGGGGTATTGCTGCAGGCAACCGCTATATCTGACCCATCCGGAGGCCTGGAAGCCGGCGGGAGGTCAGGCAGAAGGACCTGATGCCCGGCCAGTTGCTGTTGCCAGTCACGGTGTGGTTATGCTCAGCTCTGCAGACTGGTGTCTGGCCAGGCTGCTGCAGCACGGACTCCAAGCATGACATTGCTGGGCTCAGCCTGTTTCAGAAGGCTTTTGTCATCCCCTCGGAGAGATGCAGCAGATCTAGAGAGCACGCTCACCAGGAAGCTGTGGCAAAAGAGGGCTTCATTTGCTACCCATGGCAGAGCTGTTGTGTTTCACCTGGTATGACACCTGTTACCCAAAGCTCACAAATAACATGCAAGCATTTTTTTGAGATAAACCAATGCTCCAAACCCAGTTACTGGAGGGGAAGGCTGTGCGGGAATGCAGGGAAATCTATGCTGTGAAGTGAAAGCTGGTCCTGGCATCGAGAGTCGCTGAGTTCTGGTATTTGGCATTCAGAAAGCTTTTGAAGTATCTCCCTGGTCCTGCTGAAAATGTCTTCTTATAGGAGGCAAGGCATATTAATTTGGGCCCCATGCTGTGCTAATGAGTTACACAGCTTCCAAACTGGAGCTGTCGCTTAGACAGCTTGCTCCGGGTCTCGGCAGAGCTCATCATCCATCCCCGTCTGTGGGCATGTGCCCTCAGCCACAGGCAGTAAGACCTCCAGTAACAAAATCATGAAGTGCTCTCTGTGTTTGCTATTACCTATCCCACCAGCATAGCAGCTGTTCATCAGTGCTGGATCTTCTGCACTGGAGCATAGCCAGGAAACTCTTGTCCTTCACTAGGTTCATCACTAGCTGGGAAAGCACCTAATGCTTTCCACCGCTCAGCACCAGCCTCTCTCCCTGCACGCAGCCATGGCTGTCCTGTGCAGAACAAGCCCAGTGCTTCCTGGGACGAGGGAGGGACAGGCTGCGGCGGGGAGGAGCACCCCCCATGTCATGGCCTGCATGAGCATCCCCACATCCAGGAAGAATAGCTGCCCACCTTGGGCTGTGAAAAGACCAAGAAGCATTTGAAGAAGACAGAGGTGGAGTGGATGATTGCCTGAGGCAAGAGACAGCTCCAGCTGAGCATCGGTGGCATCCCCAAACTCTGAGAGCCTAAGCTACAGGAGGACCATGGGGGAAGGATCCCAGCCTTTCCCAAAAGGCCTTGAAATGTCTCAGTGGAGCATAAAGCCCCGGTGAAAATCTTCCTTTGAAAGGATCCCAAGTGAGAGAGGTTATAGCTACACTGCTGTGCCTGGGCATGGATACATGGAGCACCGAGCTGGTGTTAAGGCATCCAACAGAGGTTGGGAAAGGTGTAGATGTGTCTGTCTCCCAGCGAGGGACTTGGCAGGACTACAACTTTTCTTCTGCTTGTTTCAGGGCAGGGGGTTTTGCTGTTGGCAGCTCACAGCTGCTTCCGAGCTGACTCTTCCTACCTCATGTATTTGAAGTGCAGTATCGGGGGTCAGCAGAGAGCCAGCTTGCCTGCGCTCTGGTTCCTGTTAGCTGGCACTTGATTTCATTTTTTCCAGCTTCATAGATCCTGCGTTTCCTGTACTGGTTCTCCATACCCCTACATGCGCATCTCAGCATTGAGGTCAGTGTGGATGTGTAATCGACAGGGAACCAAATTGTTCCCTGATATTGTGTAATTCGTGTTGAATTAAAAGAAGACAATAAGGCTTACATACCAATCGGGAAGGGGGAAGAGACATATTGAGATTTAGCAGATGCCTTGTGTAAATAACAAGGCTTGCTTAAATGGTGCGTAAAGGTCACGGGAAAAGAACAACAGCTATAACTTACTAGATAAGGAGGGAAAAGACAGCGGCTATAATTTACCAGATAAGGGGATTAACTCTGCCACGACTGCATTTCTCCACAACAAAAGACATTCTACATCAAAAGACACTCCTCCCTTGAGAAGATCGACCGAATCCGCCTAGTAACAAACCTGCACGAGTGAAGAAAGAGGAAGCAGGACAAGGCGGAGACTTACAAGAAAGGGGTGCATGAACTGTGTATAAGAAATGTAACTATAACAGAAAGTTGCGAGCCGTTGGTAGAGTGCGGACTCCCCGGCCGCCCAGCGCTGCTTGCTTGCTATTCTCAATAAATATATTGATTCTATAAAAAATTGGCTCTGTCGGTATATAACAGATGTTTACAGCAAAGTTGATCTTCCTGAACTCTCCATCTTCAATCTGGGAAGAAAAGTACCTTTACTGCTTGGATATGGCTCTTGGAACCAGAGGGCCTTCCACCGCAGCTCATGACACAGGTGGCACTGTGTCCTTCCATGCTGAGAAGAAAAATTAGCCCTCAGCACCCAAGGAGAGACACAAGTCAGATTCTTCAGCCTGGAAGAAACTGCTTTTTTAGCCAGATAAATGGTCTAGAAAGAGAAATATTTAAGTGGATGAATCATTTTCACTCTCTCAAAGCAAGAATAGGGACTTTTCTATTTGAGACAAATGTTCTCTTAGCCCCTGGCTTGTTAAACTGGGGTGCTTCTGCGCTTTCTATCCATCTGAACGAGCACCACGCATTTCATCCGACCCCATAGAGGGGACCCTGCAATTTCCACTCCCAGCTGTCATCACAAGATGGCATTGCAGACTTAAAAGCTGAGCCGGCTCTGCTAGTGCTTGGAGATCTCTTCCAGACCCGGGGGCGTCCAACCCCAGAGGAAGCTGTGGACTTAACCCTGCCTGCTGAGCTCCTCCACCAGGTCTCAGCCACCGACACTTGCTTTTAATCACGTCCCTTTAATGTCAAGGCTGTGCTTTAAGCACACGGCATGCAGAATGAAAAGCTGCAGCCGTTACTCCTGTAACCTGTGAGCCATCTAATTGCACTGATTTAAGCTAGTTATAGTTTTGACAGTTAATGGCATGCAGAGCACTTTAATCTTGACCTGCAACCCCTCCGGCTCTTCCAGGGCCTCCTCTGCCCCCGAGGAGACACTGCTAATCAGACCAAACAGTGAAGTAGTTTAAGACATGGCTAAAGGGAGCCAAGGGCAAATCATGAGCGAAATACACCCAACTCATTTTGCTGCAAAGCACTGTCAAATTTAGAACTGTCTTTTGTTTGCCCAAGAGTGATTTGGGAGAGCAATGATAAGTCTTTTAATAATTTACAGCTTTAAAACAATAACAAAAAGAGAAAAATCACTCTTCTTAGCTATGATTTTTAAAAATAAAGCTTATTTTGAGTTAGATGCACAAACCCTGGTGTGGTGCACTATCCCCTCTGTGTCTCCCCTGCTACCTCTGCTCTCGTGGGGGTGCAGCCTGCCCACCTGTGGCATGACCCACAGCCAACAGCCACAGCTCTGCTTGGCCCCACTGGTGAGGAAGCTCCAGCCCCATATGCTGCCCCATCACCTCTGGAGAGGGCATCAGCAATGGTGTTGGCTCCTATGGGACTGTGCTCCCCTTCAGCCCTTGTTGCTGCCATCACAGCAGGCAATGCTTTGCCCAGATCAGACTACCATAGCTGTGCTTACTTGCTGGGTAGGTTCTGTTTGCCGAGGGTTATATGCAGCTTGGATCAGCCCCAAAGGACCAACAGCCCTTAATGGCCGTGACCAGCCTCACCTGACACCGCTATACCCATGGGACAGGAGCCCCATTTAAGCTCAGCCCTGGAGCTTTACTCCTTCTATGAGTGATGCTGCAGGAATTCCTGGCTCTAGCTCTGTCTCCGGC